TTTTTTTTTTTTTTTTTTTGAGACGGAGTCTCGCTGTGTTCCCTAGGCTGGAGTGGCAGTTGGCGCGACCTCGGCTCACTGCAAGCTCCGCCTCCCAGGTTTCACGCCATTCTCCCGCCTCAGCCTCAAGTGCCTGAGGGACTACAGTGAGCCCGCCACCCGTGCCAGCCCGGCTAGTTTTTTTGTATTTTTAGTAGAGATAGGGGTTTCACCCATGTTAGCCAGGTAGTCTCGATCTCCTGACCTCGTGATCCACCGCCTACGGCATCCCAAAGTGTGGGATTACAGGACTTCGAGCCACCGTGGCGCCCGGCCTGAAATACTTTATGTTGAATGATCTATTAGGGGTAACATGCTGTGCTGGGTGAGGGAAGACCACGATTTGTGCCTCATGGTAGAAAAAATGCCCACCCTAGTGGCCCTGCCTGTGGGCTCATGCCGCTGGCCTCCAATGAGTGTCCAGGAAAAATCCAGAAGGATGGATATTCCAGATGGGGTAGAATTTAGGACCTGTATGCTACCTATTCTACTTGTCTGACTAGAATCCAGCCAAAGAGTGGGGGTGCATTTCGTTTCTCCAAGCATACTATGGGCCAGTAATAATCTTGCATTATTTTTGAGGATTTGTCTCTTCATAAAAAATCGTGACTATTGGTCTTCTCAAACATAGTAGTTTAGAATTATTAAAAACTATTTTTGTCATTATAAATTAAAAGCTGATATCATTACTATTGTGAAACATTTCAGAGGTAAATGCAGCTTAGATAATCAAGTCAAGCACACGTTGAATTTGATGAACATTACAAAAAAAAAAAAAAAAAGAGAGAAAAGAAAAGGCCATTCAACCAGAAGGTGAAGGGTTAATACTCTGGTCTGGGCCGGGCGCGGTGAGCTCATGCCTAGGAATCCCGCCACCTTGGGGCTGGAGGCGGGCGGATCCAGACGGTCAGGGAGATCAGAGACCATCCCTGGCTAACACCGGGTGAAACCCGTTCTCTACTAAAATTATAAAATTAGCCGGGCGCGGTGAGGGGCGCTGGAGTCCCAGTACTCGGGAGGCTGCAGGGCAGGAGAAGGCGCTGAACCCGGGAGGCGGGAGCTTGCAGTGAGCCGAGATCACCCCGCTGACGTCCAGCCAGGCGACAGAGGCGAGACTCCGTCCAAAAAAAAAAAAAAAATAAAAAAAAAAAAAAATTAAAATAAAATGACTAAATAGATAAATACCTCCTGGTCTGCTGGCTTGGGGTATGTCCTTGTCTCCAAGTCGGGGCATAGCAGAGCAGAAAAAGAAATCAGGTGATTTGGAATGACAAGTTCATCTGCTATGTCTTTTCCCAATTTTCCCCAATACGCCCTTCCAAACCCCGGCCTATATTGCAACCTATAACTGTTGTTATTTCCTGCTTTTTTGTGACTTGATCCTGGATTGATCTCAGAAATTTGCGAAGTGGACAAGCAGCGCAAGCGCAATAGATACTGTATTTGTAGGAACAATTAAGTTCAATGACAGTTTAAGAGGATGGCTTTAGGCACCATGACTCTTCTTGGTGCTTTAGGGGAAAAAGCCTTGTTCCACATGTGTTTGAATTTATGCATGTGACCAGAGGTTGTTTTTGTGAAAAAACTTCGTGTGTGGAAAAGTTTACAATTCTTCATGCAGTATATGTTGACCCACACTATACTTATCACCCAGTTCAACAGGCGGTTTCGTTTGTACCCAACTTCCGGGCTCTGCTGCGGGCTTGGTCTTCTGATAAACTGTCAGGAAGGTGACAGTTTCGCCAAGCAG